CCTATCCCCCTGTGTGCCCTTGCCTCCCACGACTCATTTTGTGTCCAATGGACCCATATACAACTTAGCATATCAAATAATTACTGAAAATATCTCAATATAATTTCTATTTGTTTTCATGTTTTTGAATAATTACTATAGTAAACAACCATATCCTGTTTATTGCATTCTAATTTTTCTTTCAGTGGTAAATGTGTAATTGAATAACTGATCAAAGTGGTAAAATAGTTATATATAGTTCCTCTTATTTTGTTAATTAACTTAGCAACAGTTATAGAGGAAATAAAATCTGTTACTAACATAAATTGGCTATTTTTCTTGAAGAAGAATGTACGTATGGTAAAATTAAATAACTATTGAAACTTAACTTGATGGATAAGTTTGTTGAGGCTAGTTACTCTGGTTTAATAATTATGTGAAGAAATTTTGACCAACGCTTTGACAATAAAGTTTGAGTACCAAAATTTAAAATAAAAACCAGTTATAAAAAATTTCATCAAAATGTAATTTGATACCATTATGTTAAAAAAAATGTATTTTAACCCTCTTGCCGTGGGCGGGTCAAAGTGTGCATGTCACAACTTTTTAGAGAGTTACATTCAAAATGTAATTAAACTACTTTATTATCATGGTATATGAATAAACTTGGCATAAAACATAGCTAATAAATCACATTTTCATATTACATAAATTTTAAATCATTAATTCTACAATTAATTTAATAAAAAATCCTCAATCTCCCCTAGTATGAGAATTGTGACATTTACTCCATAGGTCTTCTCCCTTTCTCTAACTTATTAACCCCAACTTGAGAAGTTATATTAGTTATAACCAATAACCAAAGTTTTAATCTATCAAATGACATATCATATTACATTATTTTCTCTACACAAAATTGTCTATTTTACTTCTAGTTGAAACTTCATTCCCATGGAATACACATCGATGAGCTTAGCTGAATTTTTAAATATTTGTTATCACATAGTTAGAAAGCCAGGAAAATTGTCTGCTTTTTACATGTTATTATTCTGTGTTCATTGATGCATTATTTAATTAAATAAATTATTTAGTATAGTAGTACCATTAGTATAAAAAGAAAAGAAAGTAGGGTTAAGTTTCATCAAAAGTCAACAGCAAATATAGGAAGACCCAGGTAAGAACTATATTTCTTTTTTTTTTCATGTGTATTCTTTATTTAGTATTATAAAAATAACTAAAATGTAAAAACTAGAAAATTATTAGGTTAGATAAATAATAATAAAAATTGTTCACGAGGTATGCTTAGGAGTAGCTCATGCATTACATAATTTGATAGGGTAACACACATTTGCCAAGGAAGTTACAGCTTGTGTGGCAGTATTATTAGTTAGACATGGATCTAAGATAAATAAAACAATAAAGTTTAAGTAGAAATAGATTTATACTGTTATGAGCTTTAATCTATTGAGGATAAACAAATATAGTTTCCTGTTACAGTTTGAGGCCATTTTAGAAAGAAAAAATGGTAATTTAGGTTTAGTTTGTATTTTTTAGGGTAGAAAAAATAACAGATAAAGTGTAAAGTTTTACTGAAAAAAGTTAAAAATTTGTTTAGAAAGTTTTAGAGATTACATAAATGAATTTTCAGAATTTTCAGATGAAGAAAAGTATTTTTAATCTTCACACAAAAATCACTTTGCACTCGGAGCAGTCAACACTTTGACTCCATATATTCATGAAGAAATGTTTAGTAAAAATACTTCATTAAAATCATGATTTTTTTGTCTGTCTACTAATGTTTACTGAAAGCTTATGAAATTTGATGAAGATACACAAAACATATTAGAAGTTATAGTATGGAAACTCTAAAGGTCAATTTGGGGTCACAAAGTCAGCTAAACTTACCCAGCCCATAGTGAGAGAGTTAAATTAATATGTTGCTAAAGGGCACTTACCATGGTGAAAAATCTAAGAAAGGTATATAGTTTTTTTTATAACCATCTTCACGTGAAGCAAGTAATACTTAATTTCAACTTACAGAACTTGTAATTAACCTTTATTATTTGGTTTAAATGCAGAACATATATTAGATAAACTCTACTGACCTTATCTAAGTGTACCAAAGGTTGGGATGTGATTTTTATTTCTTATTTAAGACTCGGTAAGAAACAAAGACAATAAAAAAGACATACATGGTAAACATTTATCAACAGGGAGAGTCAGAAGTGTGTGTGAAATTTAAATATTGTAAAACTTAAGCAACTGTAAGGTATTTGTAATTATAATTGTTTAATTTTGCATCGCAGTATTGAAATCATTAACTAGTTATTTCACTCAGTAACAGTTTGTGTGCATATCTATGTTTTTAGAATATATTACTTGAAAAGTAATTTTATTTAATCACGCTTTTGCCAGTATCAATCAAGTGTTCTATTTAAAGTGGGTTTTTATATATTTTTTAACACAAGCATGGATAAATATTATATGCTGAAGTAACTGTTCTTGTATATACCCTTACAGACGAACAAGAAAACAATGAAGGAGCAAAGCTGGAACAATTGCTTTTAGATGATTGTTCATTGTCGCAAGATACAGATGAGGAAGATATAGAAATGAGGACAAAGGGTACACACTTAAGTCCTAATAATCCCACAGAATACAATAGTTTGGAGAATGGACATGTTACAACTTCAAAAAATGAATTGGAAAGATCACTCAAAAGTTCTCAAAAATCATCCAAGAGTGTGATGACCAATGGAGAAGACAGCCTGGATTTGGCTCCATCATGTAATGGTGATGATGCAAATGATATAAATAGGTTATCTCCACCTGTACACAAAATGACTCATGCTTTGTCTGTTCCAACAAAGAATGTGGAAGAACAGACTTCTTTATATAGTGAAAACAGTAAAGCTGATAATGGTAGAAAAGGAATAGATTCTCATAGTTTTAATGAAAATTCTGGAAGATATTTTACAAATGGTAATGTCACACAGCCAGTACAGAGATTTGACTGTAACTCATCTGATTCACAAACTTTGAAAAATGTGGATGACAATGAAAAACATAGCTCTGACTTGATATGGGAAAAGAATGAGGACCATAGATATGAAATAATGAATGAAAAACCTGACTCATTTATCATCAAAAAATGCAAGTATGAAGAAACGTACAATGCTGAGCATTTATTACCAAGGAAGATGGGAACAATTGTTAATTTAGAAGATAAGCTTGATTCTGAAAGAATGATTACATCTTTAGATATTCAAGATCAACCTCATTCTAAGAAGGTGGAAACACTTACTAATATTGAAAATATACATGATTCTGACAAGATAGAAACACCTGTTAATTTAGAAAATAAACATGACTATGTGAGGATGGAAATTGTGGCTAATATTGAAGATAAACTTGTGTATCAGCGGTTGGAAACAGCTACTGATGAAAAAGATAAACCTAGTTCTGAAACAATAAAAACAACTTCTGATGTGGAAGGTAAACCTTATTCTGAGAGTACGGATACAGCTGTTAACATGGAAGATAAACCTTATTCTGAGAGTACGGATACAGCTGTTAACATGGAAGATAAACCTTATTCTGAGAGTACGGATTCAGCTGTTAACATGGAAGACAAATCTACATCTGAGATGACAGGAACAGCTATTAACATGGAAGATAAAGCTACATCTGAGATGGCAGGAATAGCTGACAACATGGAAGACAAATCTACATCTGAGATGACAAGAACAGCTGTTAACATGGAAGATAAACCTGATTCTGAAATGATAGAAATGACTGTTGACATGGAAGGTAAACCTGATTCTGAGATAGTAGGAACAGCTGTTGACATGGAAGATAACCTAAGTTTTGAGGTTCTAGAGACAGATGTTAATATGGATGATAAATCTGATTCTGAAATGATAAAAATGGCTGTTGACATGGAAGGTGAACCTGATTCTGAGATGGTAGAAACAACCATTGCCAAGGGAGATGAATCAGGTTTACAGATAGCAACAACTGTTAATGTGGAAGATAAACCTGATTTTGAAGAGATTGAAACAGATGCTGCTGTAAAAGATAAACCTAATAATGAAAGGACAGCTATCACTATTAACAAGGAAGATAAACTTGATTCTGTGAGAATGGAAGCATTTACTAATTTGAATCAAAATTCTTTACCTGAAAAATTGGAAATAACTGTTGATGTTATTAAAAGAAAAGAAAATGTTTCTCAAGTTGGAGCAAAATTAAAAACTTCTAATATTGAGGAGAGTTGCATTTCTGAAAGAATAGAACAAGTCAGTACAGAGAAGTTTAATTCTAACAAGGAAAATGTAGCTAATATCGGTGATGATATTATTTCTACTAATTCTGATTCACTTGTTAATGAGAAAAACCCTGAATTAACAAAATTTGACTCAATTAAAGGGATCAGTGAGTCTCAAAAATCCAAAACTGAGAATGAGTTGCAGTGTTTGAAATTAAGGGAACTTGATAAGACAGTACCTGAAGAACCAGAACTGCTTAAGCCAGTATCCCCAATATGTACATCAAAACCTGTTACAGAGTCTAGCACAAGAGTTGAAATAGTTGAAGATGTTAGTATTAAGAATACAGAACAATCTGGATCACTATTAACTGAAATACATGAAGATTCAGATAATGATTTAATTCCATTGAGAATTAAAGAAGTTCCTAGTGGGAAAGAAAAAGAAATACCAGATATCACTGATGAAGTTTTCATTTCTTATGCTAATTCCAGGATTCCATCTGGAAATGATCTGTTAGAATGGGAAATGATTCAAAAGGAAGTTGCTGAGATAACATCAATGATGAAATCAGAATTTGTAATCATAAAACCGATTTCTCCTCTTCCTTCAACACCACCACCTCATCCTAGGTTTGATCATCAGTACACCCAATCAGTTCCTGAGTTTTTTGTTGATGATGGTGATAATCAACACAAAGCTGATCCTCCACATGGATGTTATCCGGCAAAGAAGAAAAAGAGAAGAAAACATTGTGAAAAAAAGTTCTTAGGTCAAGCTAATGAAATTGAAAGTAATACTTCAACCACAGAAAATATGCAAACTTCTGAAGAAATGGAAGAAAATGTTGACTTAGATGAAAATTCCTCCCGTTATTTGTCTCATCAGCAGTCTGAAGGGTTTGAACTTAGCCATGACATAATTTCTGAATCTACACCATTAGAACACCCAAAAACTAATCACTTGTGGAACACAGAAAATTTGTGTAAACATATTGGAAATACTTCTCTACTGACAGGAGACAGAAGCAGAACAAGTCACATGCTTGCAAACAACCAGCATTCTAGTTTACCATCATGTTCAAACAAAAATATGAACCCATCTTCTTGTACTAATAAGATAAAAGCAGACATTTTGCATGATTCATTTAACAGTAGTTTCAAAATAAGTCTTCAGTTACCAGATGTAGATAAATTAGATCATAAAATCACTGCTGTACACTTGGAACTTAATACTGAAAATCGAGAGTTTAACTTGACTTGTGATCAACAACCATCTTATTCTAACCAAGAAGGATGTCAAAACTTTTTAAGAACAAGTTATGTTCAGAAAAATAAATCTGTTGATAACTTGCCTGCACAACAAGTTGAAAATGATCTTCATCAACACCAACAGCCAGAACAAGCTGATAATTCTAAACAACAGAGGTGGAAATTTGATGAACCGTTTCAGACTAATCAGTGGAAAATGGATAAAGTTGTTCATAAACAACATTTTAAATGCCCTGAAGGATTCACAGCACAAGTAAAAGTTCCATGCCAGGAACATAGAGAATCGAAAAACAGAGAAAATAAAACTAAATCTTTAGAGAAACCTAAATTGTCTACTTTAAACAAACAATATATACCAAACACAGAAAGTGAAATAACATCAGATGTTTCCTCCAGAGAGATCTTGAATAGAAATAAAAGTCTTCCACAATTACAAACACACGAGATCTCTAGAACAATCACTTCTCCAAGAAATATTCTTAAAAAAAGAAAGATACTTCGTAAAGAAAATATAATTAATGATTCTGACTTCTTCCCATTGAAGAATTCAGTTAAAAAAATTTCTAGACTCTCTGTATTCAAATCAAACATGATAAAGGCTTCATTAAAAGGTGAAAAAAACAAACAGTCTGTTGAAATTAATAAAGATAACAGCACATCAGAAACCCCCTTGAACTCAACAATATTAAATAACATGCAATTCACTGACAAAAAGATATATGACACTAAAATTAAAGATCAACCCAACACTCATTTATCATCAAAAAAGGCACTAGATAAAAAAAGTAACCACAAAAGTGAAAATTTCTTAAAGCCAATATCACCACTTCCTGAAACACCATCAAAAATTAGGTTAGCTTCTAAAGAGCAAAGTTCAGAGTCACAACCAGAAAAACTTTGTTCTTCTTCTCTGCCAAAGAATCTGTGTCAGAAATTTACAGAGTCAAAAAGCACTCGTTCTTTCACAGAAAAGAGGACACTGGAGTTAAGTCATAATGAATCCCAGAAACTTATTACATCTTTACCAAATTCCAACAGTCTAAAATCATGGACAGATCTTAACAGTGAGGAAGGAAAGTCAATTTTAAGTGGTGTAGAAGAGGTAGTTCTCAAACCAATAACTGAGCCTGATTTTCCTGGCAATAATAGTACACTTCATGGAAATGTATTACTAGATTCTTCACTAGAAACTGCAGCTGATTCTGATACAAGGTCAAAGAGTGTAACAAAAGTACCTGAGATTATAATTGAGAACATTCCAAAAGGATCAGTAAAACAAGGAAATGCCGTGGAAGTCGTTCATACTCAGGAAGAGATCTCTCTTTCAAGTTCTAAAATACCCTCACACACAAATTATCTGGATCACGGTAAAAGGAAATGTCATTCAGACATTGAATCTGAAGCTGCCAAAGGGAACTGTATACAGATCTCTAAGAAAATGTGCCATGGTATTAGTAGCTTGAAGACATTTCAGGGTTCTTTTGTTTTGAAGTTATCTGAAAAAGAGAAGAAATGCTATTGGAAGTTACCTCATGAAGAAATGCATACCTCACCTTCAATAGAAAAGTGCTTGATGAAACTTTATTCTAATGGAAAGACTATTGAAGACAGGAACCAAAGCAGGAATGACTTTTTGGCCATTGTTGGAAACCCAAAAGTAATTTCTTCAGTAAGATTTTTGGTACACTCTCTTATAAGCTACTTACATAATAGCCCCAAAAACCCATTCATTGACTTTCTGTCTCAAAACTCAAAACCTCCAATAATTTGCCATCTTGAAACTAGTCTTCTAGAATGTCTTTTGTACTTGGAAGAAAAGAAAAAGAAGCATCTCAGAAACATGATGGGAGCTTTGATGATATCTGTCAAGTCTGCAGTGTTTGCTAGAAAGAAATTTAATTTGCTGTTTGGTCTGGCAGCATTGTCTCGTGTATATGCTGCTCTCTGTAGACACCAAGGATTGTTAGAAGAAGCCAGGATTTTTTGCTATGATGTTTTGTACAGGAACATACCTTTTTCTTCATTTGTTGTGGCAGCTGTAGTGGGTGTTTGGCCAGAGGTCCTTTATTCTACAGGAGGTATGTTGCATTTGTTCTAAATGAATTAGCTTTTTTATTAATTTTTTCTAATTATTTTGTTAAAAATATTTTTACTTACAAATAAAAATCTGTGGCAATCCAAATCTACAAAGTTTCTTGAAGGAACTCAAAGTCTTAATATAATCTTTGTATATGTTATACAAGAATTTATCAATTTATGACATTGTTATATTGCTTATAGTCAGTGAGTAACTTCTCTTGTGAATACTTGGTGACTACAGTCAAGATCTAAAAATGTCCTATTTTTCTTAGTGTTTTTATGGTGCAAAAATTGATGTTAAAGTGACCATAATGTATTTATTGTTTGTTAATTCTTTCTTAGTGCTGAGGCATACACATAAATCTTCTCAAGTGTATGTAGTTTAATGCAACACTTATTTTATACAATTTATCGTTTTTTTTTAATTTTTTTATTTTCGTGGATGTACACAATATTTTGTAACAAAACTTTTGGAAATTACACATTAACATACTCTGTTATCATTATGACTAATGTTTTTTTTTTTTTACCTGGTTAGGGGTTTCCATTAAATTGTTTTAATTATTATTGCAATGAAATATCATGGTGATTCAGGAAGTTATCTTAATGATTACTTTTGTCTGAATCATATAATGATCCAATAAGTTATTTCATTGGTTCTTCTTGATTGTAATTTGTTCTTGGTCCATTAAGTTAATGTAATGGTTGTTCCTGCCTATTTCCTTTGTTCTGTTTGCCAAGAATTATCACTAAAATTCATTAACTTATTTTAATGGTTCTTATTCCCTATAATGGCCCACTAAGTTATTGTAATGATTTTTTTTTACAGAATGTTTTTTATTGGTTCTTGTTGATCACGACTATTGTGATAATCCAGTAAGTCAGGTTAATGAATTGTTTTGTTTGTAAATCTCATGATGATCTAATCTATAATTTTAATGCTTTTTATGTCAATGTACAAGTCTAATTGTATTTAAAATTTTGTTTTAAGGCATCTTTTTGGTTTGAATTCTTACAATATCTAAAAGTTTGATGGTTCTACATGGCTGGGATTTCCTGGAAGTGTTACAGTATCCCATGAAATTATTTTATTGTTCCTTCTCTTTCCTGTGAGTTGTATAATATTCAATGAAGTTGCTCTAATGATTCGTCATGACTGGGAATCTTATAATATGCCACCAGTTGTTTTAGATGCTAAAGATTTCATTATAAGTTTTTTTTTATAGTACTATTTGGCTGGAATCTTATGATATTCCAAAAGAAAGTTATGTTAATGATTCTTTTTGAATAGGATTCTCATGATGGAACTTAATAAATTTGTTCATAATGATTTTTGTTGCATGAAAAACTCATGATACATCACTAAGTTGTTTAAATGTTTTTTCTTGTTCTTTCCTCAGTACAAATTTGTCTTCAAATGTTTTGTTGGGTTTTTTCATAGGAATTATCAGCAATTTTGTGCTTATTATTTTACAGTTTTGTTACCATTCATCATATGGTCTGTATTTCCTTAATATTTTTATTATGAGAAAGAAATACACCAAATTTTACACTTTTCAGTTAGAACTTAGATTCAAATTATCTTCCAATTCATGTTTTCTTTTAATCTCATTTGTAATTTTGTGACATGCATTGAGGTTACTTTGACAGTGCTAGGTCCTGTTCTTTTACCTAACATATGTATCAAGTCCTCATTGATGTCATCAACAGATGCACCTTTCACATGACAGACTAATTTTTACATCTAATAAAACAAACAAAATACTTGGATTTGTGGATCAACTGGAATACATGTTCATGTTTCCTTGTTTTAACATCTCCTGAGGTTCTGACATTTCTCAGCAAGTTGTCCTATACTGTAATGGCAATTGGAGACACACTGATGTTCAGGGACATTAGAGCCATTGTGCACCAGGTAGTTGGTTTCATTTTGATCTTTGATCTAGAATTCCAGGCCTCCTGCTTCTGTTTACTTCAGCTGAGTCTGCCCTATCTTGTAAGTGTTTCATCTAGGTTGTTTCTAATTCGCTCTTCCAAACAAGGATCAGGTAATCCCACCTTTATTCTTCAGTGCTTGGATTACACAGGTATGTGTCTTTCCTTTTCTATTTCTCTTCTTGTTTTTTGCTGAATCTCAGACTCTCTTGTTGCATGAGTCTCCATCAATTGAATTTTCTCATTTTTCTTTTTATTCTTTCTCTCTCTATTCATCTCTTTCTTACTCTACTTTTTTGCTATCTATCTATGCTTCACTTTCTTTTATTTTGGAGGATTTAAATCACATATGTGTCAACTTTACTGAAGTAACTTTCACATGCCTCTTTTTCCAATTTACCCACAATTTTCTTCTTCCCTTCTGTCATAGTTAACTTGGTTTGTTTGTTTCTAAGATGTACTTCATCAGGTTTCCTTCCTTTATGACATTTGCCTCCTTCAATCTTCTGTCATGGACCTCTGTTTTGCACTTTCTCTTTATGATGTGGATTTTAGGGAGTATTTCTTATATTTTGGGATCTTGAGTTGATGTATTTTGTCAATACTCGTCTTTGCTCACTTTGATTTCTTGCTTTTGGGACCAGAGGCTCCACCAGATTTCTCATCCTATATGGTCTTGTAGGGTTGCCCTTGCTCCTGTTTCTTGTCCTCTTGTTACTCTTCCAAGGACCTCCTCTGTCATGGGTCTTGTAGGCAATTTGTTTTTCTATTCATCCAACAGCTTCTCAATGGGATTCTGCTCTCTCACTTTGTACACCTGGAGCCTCTTTTGTTTTGCTACTGACTGTTGGGGTACTCGTGTACTTTCTCAAGGGTTTTTACTTGTTCTTCCACTCTCCATCTCCACTGTTTAAAATGCTGTAGGACAATTCTTCAACCCCACTCTTTTTGTCATTCCTATGAAAATGGGAGGTTGATGTCAAGTTTATACTCTGCCCTACATGTACCTCCTTTCATCTTTCCTTGGTTCCCAATAGATGACTTTTTCAATCTGTGGAATGTGATCCAGTTTGAGATCTCAGATGCTTTCTGCACATCCCAATTTGTCTGCCTCCCTTTCTGTTCCTTTGGTTTGACAACAATGGTTAAACATTAATTCTAGGCCCTTCCCTTCAAATTATCTTTGAGAGTTATCTGACTTTGGGGGCTGGTTTGTCTCTTCAGTTCAGTCTTGACCCCCACTCCCCACTCTTTATCTCATCCACTTAGGAAGATCTTTCTTGCTTTATATGTGGGGCAGGCTCAACCTCCATCCCCATGTCTTTGAGACATGGAGCTTTTGATACCTTCTATCTCCTGAGAAGAATGTCTCTTTTGTGTCTTATTGATGTACCCATACATTTCTCTTTAGTGGTTTCTCACCCATCAAGTCTCCCAGTGGATCAGCAGTAAGTCTCTAGACTTACATTACTAAAATTTGTGGTTTCTTTCCCTGTAGTAGACAGAGTGCATATTTCTTCCCCTTCTTGCTTGTTGGGACCATCACTCGCACTTTTTTGTCTTGGATGCCTCCAGCACCTTTAACCACAGGGACATGTTAATAATTTTTCCCTAACTGTTCCTTTCTCCCCCCAGACTTTGGTGGCTTTGTAGAATAATTAGATATTTTTTGAGTGCCACCTCCCTTCCCATTTCTTTTCTCTATGATTGTTCCAACCCAGGTTGTCTACTTTGTACTATGTGTTCTATTAGTTGTTCTCTCACTTGCACTGCCCTTTTCTGGGTATTTGACAATATCTTTTCTTGCTTTGAAATTCCTCTTCCTCTAGTGACTTATACCCTTCAACTTTGCCCAGTTAATTTATACACCTCATATGGCTTTTCATATTTTTCTCCTAACACGTTTATCATCTCATGGCTTCTCTTGCTTCTTGCTGTCAATGTCCCCTGTATGAGATCTAGTAAGCAGGGATGTGGACAACTGCTGATGAATTATTATCACATTAGTTAACACTACAGGGCAGTTTCACCTATCCTGGCTTTCATCTCTTCTCTTCCCAGAGGTTCAAGTGAGGTGAATCTTGATTATGTAGTTTTGTTTTGTTTTTCCAATACAATACATGCCTCTTCTCACAGCTGCTCCAGGAGTGTGTTGTTTTCCTGTTGGTAGAGGTTTGTTGCATGCACTGTGCATGCTAAATGAGCAGCTTGAACTGAGGAAGTATAAAGGCTAGTGAGTCAAGCAAGAATATTTTTTTAATGCCTTAGAGGGCAGATGAAGATCAGGAAAAGTTTTTCCAATACAATACATACCTCTTCTCACAGCTACTCCAGGAGTGTGTTGTTTTCCTGTTGGTAGAGGTTTGTTGCATGCACTATGCATGCTAAATGAGCAGCTTGAACTGAGGAAGTATAAAGGCTAGTGAGTCAAGCAAGGATATTTTTTTAATGCCTTAGAGGGCAGATGAAGATCAGGAAAAGCTTTTCAGTCAGAAGTGGTAAATATCTAACGGAAATCTATTTTCAGTGTAGGAAAATGATAACTTTTCACAGCTCCCTCATCATTATTATCTACCAATGTATATAACCTGGAAATAATAGAACCCACCAAATGGCAAATGTTGCCTCACAGGGAGTACTTCCCTTTCCCAAAATCTACATTGATCAAGGGAGTACAGAAAGTGTTAAGCCTATCTGTGTCTGCTGTTGAAATTAGGTTTTCCACAAGATTGCTTTGGCAGTGTACACAATATATTATCTTCCAGGCCATAAAAAAGCAGCACTGGGTATGTGTACTATACATAAAACAGACAGTTCTTCTATACAATTTACTTTAGAAGTTGAAGATAAGGGTTGTTTTAACTTTTTAGATGTTTCTGTAAAAAGAGAGAGGGGCTTTCTGTATACAGGAAACCATTTTCAGTTGACATGCCACCACATGTGAGATCATGTCATCCATGGTCACAAAAATTTACCCATTTTTGTCTTTCATTTATAGGGCTATTAATGTTTCATCGTATGATGAGGATTTGATGTTAGAATTAATGTATCTAAAACAGGTAGC